GAGGACAGCTCTTAATTCGAAAACCCATGGGAAAAGCAATGGGAAAATATTTTTCAAAGAAGTTGTGTCAGTTTACAGATAATAAAAGGAAGGTGTGAAGAGCCATCCTTGCCTACGTTCTAAATAGTCATAGTAATGTAATTGAAAAGAATAAAAACGTATCTAAATTCAAGGAAAATAGGTTGTATTCCATAGCCCAGACCGAAAAAAAAACCCAAACAGAAAAAAAAAACATAGAAAAGAGCAGGAACATATATCATGACTAATAAACTAATAATAGAGTCTTTAAAAAGAAAAATGAAACAAAGCTAAGAAAACTAGTTTCGTAAAGGAGAAAAGAAAAGAAGGAATAAAAGACTATAAACAAATGCAATAAAAACTTTTTTAAAATAAAAAGATAAGAACAGTAAAAATATAAAAGTAAACTAAAAATAAAATTTAGGAAAAAATAAATGTGAAAGAGCAAAGGAATGAAAATATATCATGATGGAAGAGACACAAAACATTAATGTAACAATTTTATGCGCAAAGAAAGCCTCGTGCGCATAAAAAGTTATGTAAGTTGTGCGCCCAGCCAGTATCGTTTAGGGCCACCTGGCAGAATTCAATAACTCGGCATGACATTGATTCTAATCTTTGAGGTATCATGTTTCAATACCTGTCGACAGCTCCATGAGATTTATAGGTGCAGGATCTTGCGTGCAAAAATGCCTCACCACCACGTCTCATGAATGCTCATGGTATAAGAATATGGTAGCCACACCATTCTTCGGAAACATCTGAGAGTTTTATTCAAATCAAGCATGGGCAGTTTGAAATGACCTATAATTGTTGGAAGGAACCAACATTACTGGTTCTTCATGGAATCACTGAATTGGGATAAATATCCCAAATTAATGCAACAGCGGTCATCGGTCAATTCGCGTTAATGCGGACTAGCAAACACAAGTACATAAATAAACGTCACACTATTATGTATCCACCAAGTAACATTTACGGAGCCTTGCTGACCATGAGGATTCTTGACCTGATGGGGTTTTCACCACACCCGAAACCTACCATCAATTTTAACTATTAGGATCACACCAAGAGTTGGCAGTGAAGTTACGAGATGTTCTGATCATTATATAAACAACGAAGAAAAAAGTAGACCATTGTACCCTTTCAAGAAGACCAAACATAAGTGTAATAAAAAGAAGCAGAAAAAAATGAAAATAATTAAATATAGCTGCATGTTATAGGATAAATTTTAAAGAGAATTTAAAATTGTCATAACCTGCGCTTCTTAATTATTGGAAAACACGATTGATTTGCTTTTTACTTAAAATATATTGTATTTATATATATATATATATATATATATATATATATATATATATATATATATATATATATATATATATATATATATATATATATATATATATATATATATATATATATATATATATTTATAAGTATATATATATATATATATATATATATATATATATATATATAAATAAATTGTTGATAAGCAGTAAAAAAAATATATATATATAGTTAAATTCCCAGATGAAATTCTTACTAAGACAGATTGGCATCAAATGAAAAGTGGAAAAAAAATATTATATTTGCCAATTTTTTCGTCTTCCGGCTTTTTCAAGGCATATAACAAACAGAAACATTTCGATTTCATTTTTTGCCTTGAAAAAGTCGGAAGACGAAAATTGATTGGCAAAATTATTTCTAAAATTTTCCACTTGTTATTTGATTAAGTGCTATATATATATATATATATATATATATATATATATATATATATATATATATATATATATATATATGAATTATTCACACAAAACTAATGCAAAGGTTAATGATTTAAATGGCGAGACATCCATCTCGCAAACAATTCAAATAGTAAACAAAAACCTTTTCAGCATTTCGGATACAATACACATATATTTTCGATGTCCTCTTATTACTAAGAGAAAAAAACAAGAACAACATCTATTATATACCTGAAGATGTCTGTAGGAACAGACGAAAGCTTGTAAAAAAATAACAACTAATACGGCAGAAATTTATATAAACAAGGATCAATTCATTCATAACGGATCTGAGGTTTTTTGTGTACTATTTGAATTGTTTGCGAGATGGATGTCTCGCCATTTAAATCATTAACCTTTGCATTAGTTTTGTGTGAATAATTCATGTATTTGTAAATTGATTGCACGTTTATTGTAATATATATATATATATATATATATATATATATATATATATATATGAAACTAATGGTGAATATATATATATATGAACTAATGGTGAACTAATGGTGAACTTTGGTGATCAAACGAGAACTGTTTGAGTGCGTGAAATTATCCAAGAATCTATTTGTGGCCTATAAATTTAAACCTTAGGTAAAATATCAGTCAGTTATGTGCGATGCGCGATACACGCTTTCCCGCAGTAGGTCGCCATTTCTTTCTGCGGTAGACCAGTTGCCATCCAAGGTTATAGAACTCGGTCTGTGCTGCTCTTTACTCATAGTTGGGGGGGGGTGATGGTTCATACCTTTCCAAAATGAATCTTCAATCCGAGCCGCTATCCATTACTCCATAGTATATATCTCAAAAATGGTCATTAAAACAGAATAGAAGGTACTGGAATTTACACGATAAAAAGGAAGAAAACATTGGTTCTGATTAATCATAAAAGATTATTGGTGAAGGAGTTTGTTGTAATATAAATAGCGATGTCATTTAATTTCCGCTGAAAATTGAAATGCAAAAAATTCACGTCCTTGTTATCAGGACGAGGATGAACATGACGACATCAGTAAAATAAAAATAAATAAATAAAAACAAACAAACAAAAAAATCCTATAAAATGAATTATAAAAATGAGCAGAAGTCAATTTTAATGTGCTTTCAATTAGTATTTGATGACTAAATAATTTAAAGGCAAACAGATTTTGATAAAAATATGAGTCATTTGCAATAATAATTAGAAAGAGGAAAATTTTTTTGAAGTCTGAAGACGACATCCAAATCTCCTGATCTCAAAATTTATTTCTATCTCTTGCAGTGGTTATTTATTATCATTTACTAATCAGTATTAGGTCACAAAATCTGCGTCTCTTGGAGAGGATGAAACTCACTATAACCGTTCCATCTCGGCAAAGTAACACTTTATTAAAAATCGAGGTGTAATTATATTGAACATGCATTATTCACGTGATGCTTTTTCCGCAGCAGGCTTATTCAACTTTTACATAGACAAGATCCCGAGAGAATTACAAGTCCAACCAGGGTTCATCATTGGCAGGTACAATCTTAACAAAGTAAGATATGCAAATGAAACAGTGTTGATAGACACAAAAAGGAAACTACGATAACTAGGTAAGGTATGAACACGTCTCTTCTCCTTTTAGCTACGGGTTAAATAGTAGGGTAGACTTGCCTCTACAGACTTGAATGGCAGCCAGCTCCGGAAATACGCCGAACTGCAAACCGTAGAGAAGGCAGCGGGAAAATAATCAAACATTTCTCAAGCCATGGATATTCAAATATAATAAAGAAAAATGTGTCTGTCGAGAGCCATGAACAGCTACGTCATATAAGAACATGCAAATAAGAATATTTTATTTTATTTTTCATTGTTTTGTTACTGTTAATTAGTTTAGAACATCGTCCATACCATCGCTGCTCGCCGTGATCATTGCTTCGGTCACGTCTTGCGACGAACTGATTCCCACCATATCAGTCATTTACCAATTTTATCCGACATCTTCAAACTGACGACGACCACGCAGCCGCTGGGTGGACGTTGTCTTCCAAGACCTACAACAGATGAATTTGGCACTGGAGGGTGTTCTGACGCTCTGCCAAGATCGTGGGAGCTGGAGGGACAAAGTGTCTCCCATGGGCTTAACATCATCATGGCATAGAATTTAGAAGTAGCAAGAGTTTGCTTGTTTATCTTTTTACTTTGTTTTAAAACTTTTTTTTTTTTTACTTCAACAGGACTTTTTCATCATAGTGTTTTATTTAATTATCCTCATGTAAAGCTTATGAATGTATTTTACCTTGCGATTTTTGTCATTTTAAAACATTTGAATTCGAATATGTTTCCGTTTGACACCTGCTAAACTTAGTTTTTAGCGAAGTAAAATATTATGAATTCATAGCAAAATTTCTTCCATACATAAGAGCTTCAAGTAAATATGTTCAGTGACATCAGGCTACCCGACTCCACTTAGAAAAAAATGAATCCATTTTACAAAGGAACAAAGCCGAAAAGAAATCAAATGTATATCTTATAAAATATTTTTAAAGAAAGCTACCAACAAAAAATCAATAATAAAACTTAAGGAAAATAAATTGGCTACAATAAAGAAAAATCCTACAAAAATATATATAAGGCTAATAAAAACAAAGTTAAATAAACTAATAAAGAATCTGGAATAAAATAGTCTAATATCCACAAACGTCCCACAACTTCCTCTGTATGCCGTGTTCCTTCGGGATGTTGGCAATCATGGCTCCTAAGAATTCCCTGTTTTTTTGTAGCTCCTAATAATTTATTTCTTATTTCTTATCTCCCTTAAAACTTGCCCAGTCATCCATTTACACAAGCTTTCTAGGTAGGTTATGCATTGTTTCCCCTGTCCCTCTTACCTTCAATCTATCCTGTGTGCATCAAATTTTCCAAACCCACTTTCCTCATAATGGCCCTTATAAATTTCAACAGTGTCTTCTTGATGTTAAGTATAAGTATCCTTTTTTGTTTCCATTTTTTGTAAAACTTCATCGTTGCTCTCGGGTTCAGTCCGTGATATTCTCAGAATAACTTGTGAAAAAATCCATTGATTCTAGTGATGACAAAGTTAGAAAATCCTCTACGCAAACCGGGTATTATGATATAATCTCCTTAGTGAGACAGCTATGCCAAAGATGGTAATATCTTTCACTTTTATTCCATATTTCTTTCCTTTCTTTTCCCACATTTTTTAAATGTTTCCCCTCTCTTGTTCTCATTCATGTTTATATGTTCTTTCTATTTCTTTTTCTTCCCATTCTCGGGCGTAACTCTTGTTTTTCTTTTTGTTTAACATTGTTCTCAGTATAGTCATTCTTGTCGCTTTTTTATATTATTCTCCCTAATTCATTTCTTTTCTTTTTTTTAACATTGTCTTTTTATACCTATTTCATTTGCATTCCTTGCCTTAGTTATTTTATAATATTTTATCTTTTCTTCTGTATGCTAATACTTTTCTCTATTTTCCACCTTTTCTTCTTAAGTGTCGATTGATTTCCATTTTTATGCTACAATTTTATTTTTTTAATTTTTTCTTTTTATTTAAGTTGTGTTTGCATTTTCTCTTTTTTTAAAATTTAACGTTTTTATGTCTTCTTTTTAATTTACAAGTTTCTTTACTTAATACATCATATTCTTTTCATTACTAACCCATATTATTACGTTTTTTTTTCTTTCTTTTTTTCATTTACAACTTCTTTTTTTGTCTTTCTTTTCTATATATTCTCTTGAAGTGTATTGGTAATTGTTACCAAACAAAACAAATGTAGAAAACGGGCTTTGGTGTCAAACTCTGAAATTCAATGAGAAACAAACGGCTCGGAAAACAGAAGTGAAGGGGATCAAGAATGGGAAGAAATGAGAAAATATAGGGAGAAAAACAGGATAAAGAATTTTAAAAAACAATTTTAAAAATAGAAAATAAATAGACGGACACAAGAAATTATTGAAAAAAAGTAATAATAGGGTCTTTAAAAAGAAAAATGAAACAAAGCTAAGAAAACTGGTTTCGTAAAAGAGAAAAGGAAAGAAGGAATAAAAGACTATAATCAAATGCAATAAAAACGTTTTTAAAATAAAAAAGATAAAAACAGTAAAAATATAAAAGTAAACTAAAAATAATATTTAGGAAAAAATAAATGTGAAAGAGCAAAGGAATGAAAATAATAATAATAATAATAATAATAATAATAATAATAAATAAATAAATAAAAAGTAATGTAGAAAGCGAAAAAATAGGATTAAAATTCAAATAAAACTAATCGATGAAATATAAAATTAAAATATCGTGAAAAAAAATATAAAAACAAACAACACTTAGTTTGAAACCCTATCCCTGTTTTCAAACATTTGATCTTTGGAGAAGGTCTGTATTATCCGATTCTTCTAGAAAAAGAAGACTTAAAACATGCTCAATATTAATAAAAAGCTTTTACTAATTGATCCAAAAATGAAACATTTTTTTTTATGTTAACGCCAAGTGCAGTCAAACTAAAAGCATAAATTTATTGTTTTATTTTTATTTTTCAACCGAAATAATAATTTTGTTAGTTTAAATTTAAAATTGATTCATATTAGTGTTGATATGAAAAACAATGTCAACCCAATCTATATGCACCCTAATTTCAATCACCCCCACATCTGTAATCCGACATATTCCATCCTCTGTAGAACGTAGAATTAACAAAAACTCATCGAACAAAGATGTGATTGAGAAACATAGTAGTGTGTACAATAAAGTTCACTGAAATTCAGTTTAGAGAATACGATGGTAATTCAAAGAAAAGAAATAGAAATAGAAAGATCATCTGGTACGCACTTCCATTTAATCAATTAGTACGAAGTTAGGCCATAGGTTTCTCAAATTAATTGACAAAAATTTTCCGAAAAATAACCATCTCAATAAAATTTTTAACAGGAATACATTAAAACTTAGTTATTTTTGGAAGTTAAAAGAAGAAAATAAAACCCCTAAATTTAAATGGGAAATTTTAAAACAGGCAAGGACATATAGATCATTATACAAACCATGTTTTCTGTGTTTAAAGTGCAAATAATCAGATTTTAAAATACGGAAGATTTATTAAAACAATGATTTGATTAACGATCAATTGCGAACACATTTTAAATTTGACCCTACAATCCTGCTAGACTTTTAAATTTGACAATTGCTTCTTATATGTTGAATAAACTTGTAAACATATAAAGCTTATCTTTAGTTAGTTAGACCTTTCGATGTAATATAGTTCGTACATTGTTCTTCTAACATTACTGGTAATATTTAATCTCGAGGTATATACGTTTGGCTGACATTTTAACCTTCTCTATTGATTTGTTTTATTAATACCCTATATAAAACCCTTTAGTTAACAGTTGCATTCCATTGAGCATGATCTATATATTTTATATGATCTATATGCTAAAAGTTTTGTTTACTCCATTTATTTAGATATTTTGTTTGATCTTTAAGTGTTTGTTAAATATTTTTTCATTTTTTTCCTTCATTTCCTAAAGAGCCATATTATTTATCTACTATAAAGTATTGTTAAGTGACAGTTTCTTCCTTATATGAAATCTCAGCCGCTTGATGTTAACAATGTAGCGAAAATTTTGTTTTAAATATGTCTGCATTTATTGCAATTTTAAATCTGTGTTTCATGAGCTCTTATTTAGCATAAGCCATTTTGATTGGTTGAACCGATTATAAACATATTATGTCTTGCTACTTTACATTTCTATACTTTCCTTATATATTTCTTTTTCTCTTCTTCCTTTTCTCTGAAAATTGAGATTATATCTTGTGTCTTTCTTTCTTGCTCTTTTTCTTTTCTTTCTTTTTCAGGCAGGAAAAGAGGCTGTATGTAATTAAATCCTAATAATTGTACTAATCACTCATTTACTAATGCCTGATTAGATATGTTGAATGCATTTATGTAGCAATTTTTCTACATGTTTGAATGTAATATACTATAATGAAGAATATATATATATATATATATATATATATATATATATATATATATATATATATATCGTCGTCGTCATCGTCATCTGTCCATCTCGAGAGACGATGGAGTAGTGCGGTGCGCTACGAGCCTGGGCGGGATATATGAAGAACTAGGGCTGCCCGGACGTCTAGTTCCCCCTCTCGGCCTTGCTAGCAGAGTCCAAAGAAGAGGATAAATCAATACAGTTTGGTACCAGCCCGGCTGCAGGTGTACCAGGAGGTAGCACAAAGTGCCGCCCATCCTCCTTAGGGGCTCCACTCCGGGTTTGAATTCAGAGTTGTCCTTCTCCTAGACCAGTTGCCATCCAAGGCTATAGAACCCAGTCTGTCCTGCTATTTACCCATAGTTAGACGGGAGAAGAGGAATTTCCCAAGGTTAAACACGTAAGTGAATGTAATGGATTCGACAGGAATTCGAACTCGGCTTTCCGATCCCTCAATCTAAGCCGCTATCCATTACTCCTACGTGCCTCCTATCTATCTATCTATCTATCTATCTATCTATCTATCTATCTATCTCTCTCTCTCTCTCTCTCTATATATATATATATATATATATATATATATATATATATATATAGATAGATAGATAGATAGATAGATAGCAGAAATATAACTAAAAATATTCAAACAGGATTTAAGCCCAATATACCCGGGAATTCTTTTAATCGATAGCACCGTTTGCAAGGCAGTAAATCTACTGAGACACCAGGGGTTACAGTCTAGTACTGTGATTAAATTCAAACTGTCTAGGTAAAATAGTGAGCGATATTCATTTTGTAATAAAATGCAAAAATATGGCACAAAGAAGCTCATCCAAACAATTACCATGAAATTATTTATAGAAAAAGACACAAAGAGGGGACCTTACAGCAGTGGGAATATGACTGGAGCTGAACTGTCATATCAAGACCAATAATATTGCTGATCTTTCTTTGGATTTTATCAAGGAGCTCAAGGTAAATTGCAGGGTTACAGGAACATATGTGACAGCAATATTCTAACCATGGGTGAATGGTAGACATAAATATGTTCCAGGGAGAAAAATTATCTCGCCCGACACTTTCTTAGCATCTGATCTAGCAATGGATTCAAATATATGATTATCAAATTATATATAACACATAATAAATAATAATCTATACTACTATTTTGACCGCTGACTGAGATATAGATAGATACTGTTTTGCCGCTCATATCCTAGTATATATATTTATTTGGCCTGTTCAGGAACATTCATGCTAACAAAGATCGACTGCTCCCAAATAGCTCTGTCTTGCCAATTTCCTTATACCAAGGCTTGGGTCAACCGGTGGTACGGTTTTAAAACACTTTCCGTTGGGATCGCGTCCCCAAGATAACCACAGAATGTCATCTTCCTAACAAAACGACAATGATTTGAAACCGGGTCGGAAAGCAAACATTCTCACCACTCGTACATGTTCCCATTTTTGATAGTATTAGTATCTTAATTATCAACTGATGAAAATTAAATAAAAATAGAAAAGGCAATGTTGACAAATAAAACTTTAGATAAGCAAAAACAGGAATTAAAGATAAGATAGATATACATAAAAAAAATAAAAATAAAATATTATACTTGCATTATTTACATTATTTAGACTGTTATCCTCATTTTCATTGCCATAGTGAATATGGCAATGAAGATAGGGATAACAAGTCCGAATAATGTAAATAGTGTAAGTAATCATAATACCTCATTTCAGAGATATAGACGAAAATATTACAGTTATACAAAAAAAAAATACTAATACAGAAATGCCCGGTAACTGTGGGAAAATGTTGAAAGAAATAATACTAAAAGAAATAATAGTAATCAGTATATACATAAATTCAAATAAGTATAATAATATATATATATATATATATATATATATATATATATATATATATATATATATATATATATATATATAAATACTTACAGGCGACAGGCTGTTTCATGCTAGACGTATTCGTCAGGCCTGACGATTGCATCTAGCATTAAACAGACTGCCGCCTCTAAGTGTTGATTTCAATGTTCACTTTTATATTTACACACGCTCTATCTCTGATATTGAGTACTTTATCCCATAAATGTAGCACACCTTAAGACTATATGTCTTCATATATATATATATATATATATATATATATATATATATATATATATATATATGTGTGTGTGTGTGTGTGTGTGTGTGTGTGTGTGTGTGTATGAAAAAACAAAAAGAAAACTATTTATATTGTGTTTTTTACTGATATATTTTTGTATATCTGAATTTTTTTACACACATATACACAGAGACACACACACACACACACACACACACAAAAATACACTCATAAAATAAATGAAATAAAAAATAATAGCGAATGATATTAAATTATTATATTACTTTTAAGCAATATCTACTTTTTTTTGATTAAACTTAATCCGTTAAATTTTTGAGAGCTTCGAAAAAACGCATAATCTCAACTTGAGTTCAGAACGACAATAATATAAATGTAGTATTTTTATATATATATATATATATATATATATATATATATATAGTTATATATTTATATATAGATAGTTTAATATATAATATGCAATAAAGCAACCACTAAATAACTATGTTATCAGCCATGGATCTTGATTAAAAACATAATCGCTCTCATTGGGAAAATAATTTTGTTAGTTTTAATGAGTATTGTAGCGGATAAATAAATCAAAATACATATTTAGAATGTAATATCTAAATTTTATGTAACGTATTTAAAAATAATAATAATATCTGATAATAAATTCACTTGATTTATCTTATTCTAGAGATGCGGATTTATTTTTTTAAATCTCTAGGTCAGAATATGTCATTGATCTATCTATCTATCTATCTATCTATCTATCTATCTATCTATCTATCTATCTATCTCAGTTTCTTCATTATCTATCTATCTATCTATCTATCTATCTATCTATCTATCTAAGTTTCTTCATTATCTTCATTCTATTCATATCTATCTATCTATCTATCTATCTATCTATCTATCTATCTATCTATCTCTCAGTTTCTTCATTATCTATCTATCTATCTATCTATCTATCTATCTATCTATCTATCTATCTATCTATGTGTGTGGGTGTATGTTTATATGTGGGGGAAACAAATGTTCGTACACATACAAATTTTTAATTTGTTTTATTTCCAACTAATGAATAAACATACTTTTCATATAATTAACCATACACAGAAGTACAATAACTAAATATGCATAGAAAATAGAAAAAAAATGATTTATTAGAAATACATCCCATTTATCCATTTTAATAGGTGAAAACTATTCGGACAGTACAAAAAACAATACATAAACTTCATTTAATACTTTGTAGAATCGCCATTATTCACTTCTGCAGCAACTAACTTCTTCTTTTAGTTCTCAGTTAATGATTTGCAAATTTTAGTTGGTACTTTGTTCCATTCTTCTTCACATATGGTCTTCAGATCCAGGATGTTTGTTGGAGCTCTTGATTTGATTTTAATTTTCAAATAACGTCACAGATTCTCAATTGGATATAAATTTGGGAACTGACTTGGTCACTTTAGGATATTTACATTATTTTCAGAAAGATATTTCTTCGTAGTTTTTGCACTGTGCTCAGGATTATTATCTTGTTGGAAGATCCAATCAGGAGGAAGTTCAAAATGGCGTGGCTAGAGTGGGACTGAGTGGACGGTCGGCCCTGGGTGGTACTTTTATAAGAGCAGCACTTGTGTTTTCTGTAGTCTATAAGCCTATACAGGATGTATTGAAATCAAAGTGGTTTCAATGTTGGGATAGTACTCACAGTTAAAGGATCTTTTTAATTTCGAAATCATTAAATTTGCTTCTAAAATATGTTGATATGCTGCTTTGATCCGACCATCTATTACTGTTATGTTGCTAGTACCTTTTTACAGAAAAAAACACCCCCGATTAATGATGCAGCCAACACCGATTTTCACTCTTGAAACAGTGTTCTTTTCTTTCAATGCATCGCCATTTTGACTCTATACAAGATTTCTAGAATTACGTCCAAAAAACTCAATTTTATTTTCGTCTGTCAATAATATAATTTTTCCTCATCCATATGTTCACGAATGAATTCCAACCTGGCATCTTTGTGTCTTTTCAACAGCAGTGGATTTTTTTGAAAGGAGCGTGACTTTAGATTGTTCCTGTGAATTTCATTGCTTAGCGTCCATTTAGTGACAGTAAATGGACACTAATGGACCTAATAAAAACAAATCATCCTGTAACTCTTGACGAGTAAATGGATTTTGTTTAATTTGATGCATTAATTTCCTCTAAGATTTTTCAGAAATCTTCCTGTTCTTCTTTGGTTTTCAACAGTTTTGAGATTTTTATGCCTTGCAATGAATGAACTAATTGCAGTAAATGGAATATTCAGTTTGTCTGAGATTTTCCTGTAACTTTTACCTTCTTCCCAGAGTTTAACAATCAGTCCGTTTTGCGAATTTGTCAATTCTTTACCTCTTGCCATGATGATAATCTTCTTGCACGAATATTAATTATAGAATATTCTGTTTGTATTTGTAGGCTAATAATAATTAACGTTATTGGAATATGCTAGAATATTCCACTTGAATAATCTAGAGTATTAAAGTAACTTAAATGTTTTAAAATCTGAAATTTTCATTGTAGTCTGTGTGTGAATGCGTGTGTGCACGCTCATGCAAATCTGATATGTAAATACTCTGTTGAAGTATGAGAAAAACTAAAAAATTTAAAGTAGAGTTACTTCCCTTCGATATGGCAAACTTAATTCGATTGTCAGAGAAAATCTAAGTTTTTGCGTCATTATAGAAAACTTTCTCATAAAATTTCAGAAGCTGAAAGGGTGATGCCGTTTTTTTCTATAACTTCTTGATAATTAAAGTAAGGTTTCATTTCAGCTCATTATATTTTATATAATTTTCACTAATTAGCTCATAAACTTGCATTAGTTGTCACAAGAAAATAAAACAATAATGCTAGAGAGAGTTTTCTTGTCAAGGATTCTGTTCATTGTGAAACTTTTTTCTATGATGTATTATCAATGTAAGACTGAAATTAAGACAAGAGTGAGAAAACAAAACGCTACTAATTTGGGTAGTTTCACAGGATGTATTTTCCTTTACGCAGCTTTGTCGAAGATGTAACTTTAATACAGCCGATCCATGAACCGTTCTGTGGGGAGCGGGTGACTGCGGCCTATGAAAGCAACTTACAGCAAAAAAAAAAAAAAAATCGTGCATTGTCAATGAATGACGATTTTTGTTTTTATAAGGAAATGGCTAATATTACCAGTACCATGAGAGATGAGAAGAAAATTGCAACTTTCTCCAAAATAACTTTTCTTGCTTTTTTGTTGTCAAATTCTTCAATGACATCGTCAAAAACTATTTCATCTGTCAATTATCGCTCTACAGTAGATAGGACAATATATATATATATATATATATATATATATATATATATATATATATATATATATAAAGTATATAATTGGTGTATACGGAATGAATTCCAATAACCAACAATTACTATTCTTAAAAAAGTGCTCAATACAAAGTAGAGCAGATATAATTATTTTATAAAAAAAAAATATAACATAAATATAGCTATTTTTTATAATGATTTTTTTATGTAACATATTTATGTTATAAATTATTTTTATAAAAATAATTATATATATATATATATATATATATATATATATATATATATATATATATATATATATATACAATATTTTATTATAAACAGAGTATTTACTTATATATTTGTATCTATAAAAATAACGTATAAACAGAAAATATCTTAAAATAATTATCGGACTTTGTCCATTTCGTAGACTGTGACGTCATTTGTTTACGTTTGTATACGCATCGTGCAAACATGAATGTTCGAGGGAAATCATGGAAAATTATATATATATATATGTATATATATATATATATATATATATATATGTGTGTGTGTGTGTGTGTGTTTGTGTGTGTGTGTGTGTATACAATAGTTTAAGTTTTAACTCAAAATTAAAAAGATCCTTCAACTGTGAGTACTATTCACATATTGAAACCAAAATTTGATTATTTCAATACAGCCTATACAGGCTGATAGACTACAACAAACACAAAAGTGCTCCTCCTATAAAAGTGCCACTTGGGGCCGACCGCCGACTCAGTCCAAATCTAGCCACGCCATTGCTTTTAAGGAAAGCACATATCCTCGTTCAGACTTTCTCGAAAGTCCATATCTGCCCATTTTCGTATCCGAAATGCTAACAAAGCAATTTCTAAAGAATTAATGAATTTATTTTTAATCTGATATTTTCATTATTTCAAACGTTATTTTTAGTAGATACCCGTGTTCGAAATAGACTCCTCTTTAGGGGACATATCTATTTCAAACACAGGTATCCATTGAATCCACGTCTAAAGTAACGAGCAGTCTATCTGCGAAACTGGAAGACGGAAGGAACAGTTTGTTTATTTTTTATTTTTTTTATTAAATATTCTTGCTCTATTTTTGTAAAAATTTGTGCTATTTTTATAAATCTTGTCTTTAAAAGCGTTAAACTCCAGTAATTTACTGAACTACGTGTTTTGTTAGGCGTCAACTATCTGTGTTATGGTGGACACTTCCGTCGTATTCGACTTATGAGTGTGAAGCAGCTCAGTTTCTAGGACACAACAGTTAGACACTAACACATATGATTTGATTATAGCGGTGAAGACTTCGCGCAGAACCAACCATATTTTTTGGAGGGCCGAATACAGAGACTTGGTACACTACGCAGGTTTTGAATTCAGAGTTGTTCTTCTTGTAGATCAGTTGCCATCCAAGGCTATAGAGCCCAAGTCCGCCCTGCTATTTACCCGTAGCTGGGAGGGGGAGAAGAGCAGGATCCATACCTTTCCCAAGGGTATTAGCACGTAAGTGAATGGAATGGATTCGATTATATTCGAACTCGGATCTGTTCCACACACACACACACACACAAACATACATATATATATATGTGTGTGTGTGTCTGTGTGTGTGTAACAGATCCGTGTTCAATTCTAGTCGAATCCATTTCATTCACTTACGTTATATATATATATATATGTGTGTGTGTGTGTATGTGTGTGTATATATGTGTGTGTGTATGTGTGTGACAGATCCGTGTTCGAATTCTAGTCAAATCCATTCCATTCACTTACGTGCTAATACCCTTGGGAAAGGTATGGATCCTCTTCTTCCCCCTCCCAAAGCTATATATATATATATATATATATATATATATATATATATATATATGTGTGTGTGTGTGTGTGTGTTATAATCTGTTGGCATATAGCCTAAGAGAATCCTATTAATAAAATATAAAATAAAAAAATATTAAATATTAAAACTGATTCACACATAGAGCTCAATGTTTTAATTAAACAGACAAACATATTTCATACAATAAGAATTAAAAATACATTAGGTTAATGATCATTTTCACCTTGTAAATTGAAATAATAATTTAGAAAGATTTTCAAACCATTGAATGGGTGATGAATTATTGAAATAAAAAGAAACCTTTTTATTTCAATAATTCATCATCCATTGACTGGTTTGAAAATCCTTGTAAATTATTATTTAAATTTACAAGGTGATAATTATCATCAATTAATGTGATCTTAATTCCTTTTTATTTTATGATATATATATATATATATATATATATATATATATATATATATATATATATATATATATAAGAAAGAACAGTAAGATTTACAATCCCATGTTCTTAATAACTTTTATTTAAAAAAAAAAGTGCTCGATATATAAACCGTAGAGCATAATATTATAATTATTTAATATTTTAACAATATGTCTCATCGCAACACAGAGATTATCATGTTCCAAAACAGGAAATAAAAATTTTAAATTTAATTATAAAATTAAATTTAAAATCCATAGCTTTATTCCATTATCAAGAGATTATTGGAATAACCTAATTAAGAAGTTTACTTCACCAATAAGCATAGACAATTTTAATATTTTAAACTGTTAAGGTAACGTAAAAATTCAATCATTTTGATAATCGGTGTTTGGGCGTTAATTTTACCAGAAATTATGTATCAAATATATGTTACTTTCAAAATTAGGTTAAGTTAAGGTGGGGGTAGTGATGCCTTCTCACAAACAATGACAACCATTTCCTCATGTCGTCTGGGGTTTTCAATGATAAAAAAAGTCTTTTGCATTTTTACTTGGCCGCTTAATTTATAAAATTATACATAAAGAATTCTTAAAGGGGTCGTCAGAATATGAGTAAATCGTATTTTTATAAAAACAAATTTATTCCTACAAATTTAAAGTACTTTTCTACTTCTAAGAACTAATGGTAATTCCTGTGTGGCGATTTATAAAATATTAAATAATTACAATTCACACACGCACACACACACACACACACATATATATATATATATATATATATGCGTCTAGCATGAAACTGCCTGTAGCCTCCTAGTGTTGACTTCAATGTTCACACACACACACACACACACACACACACACATATATATATATATATATATATATTCAGTTGTATGGATATGAGTTCATGACCCTGGGTTTCGTGCTTTTGCGATCATCAGACAAACTGTTTTATTTTTTAAAATTGGATCTATTTATGTTTGTTTGTTTATGTTTGCCGGTGGGAAGTGGAATTTACTTCTTTGTTTATTTATTTCAGATGACACTCTCATACACATAGACACACATGCAAACAGGTGTACGAATTTTAGTTCACACCAACACATTCATAAACAATCCGAGACTAGGCTCAGATACATATCCATGCGTTCAGGCATACATGCATACGCAGTTGTATTCTATTTTGGTGTCGCGTCACAAACTCATATATATACAACTAAATATGTTAGCTTTATTGAGCGCTTTCCACAAAGTATTACACATATTCACTTAGGTACTAATACCCTTGGGAAAGGTATGAATCTTCTTCTTCTCCCCCCACCAGCTATGGGTAAATAGCAGGAAAGACTGGGTTCTATAGCCTTGGATGGTAACTGGACTACCGCAGAAATAAATGGCAACCTACTGCTGGAAAAAAATCTGCCTCGTCAGTTATGTATCGAAAGATACAGGATCGCTTAAGCATATATCATGCGTGGCACATAACTGACTCACTGATTTTCCAGTTGAATCCATTACATTCACTTACGTACTAATACCCTTATAAAGGTATAAATCTTCTTCCCACACCTATATGGGTAAATATTAAGACAGACCGGGTTCTATAGCCTTGATGGCAACTGGTCAACCACAAAAGAAATGGCACACTGCTGCTTGAAAAAATCTGCCTCGTCAGTCATGTATCGAAAGATACATGATCGCCTAAGCATGTATCACGTATGGCACATAACTGACTGACATTCACTTTAAAATGTTATTCTTGGAAAGGCATGATTCTACCCCCCCATATAATATAAAATAGCAGGACGAAAATATATATATATAGTCTTGGGTGGCAACCAGTCTAGGAGAAGGAAACTGAATTCAAACTATGAGAGAGTTGGGCTTCGTTAGAATGTAAATTGTATCCGTCACACCCCGAACGCACCTTATTAAAGTGTGTATACATGCGGCTAGGATCGTTTGTGATTCTAAAATCGCAAAAAAGTCCTACCAAATTTGTACATCTAAATGAATACGATTCTGCGACACTTGGTCGAATCTACGTTTGAGATGCGGCAAATTCGAGCTGACTCGACTGATTCCATGGTTTTTATTTAGACAATACTTCCATCGTATAAGTTAATACAGTAAAATATAGGCATACATTTTTTACCAAAATGCTTTCCGAAATTTAACTTCTTCTTCCAAAAAAAAAAACCAAGAGATGACCTGTGTATTTTTTCCGTAAAAAATTGATCATAAAAACACGCACTATACACGAGTATATAACTTTGTTCATTTCATTAAGACGGATCAAAGTCAGCAGTAAATAAATCAGTGTTATTGGTGAAAATTTATTTATTTCTCTATTGGATCATGTTATTTAAGTCATGGCAATTATGTGAAAAAAATAATATCGCCCAAATGTCCGCCAAATCTGAAAGAAAAAAAAAATCAGACGTTTAAACTTTTTCAATGAAATTAAAATCGGTCCAAGTTATTGGAACACTTTTATTTATATATATATATATATATATATATATATATATATATATATATATATATATAAGATCACAACTTTCATTTAGACGAATTATATATAAATAATTCATTAAGACGGATCAAAGTCAGCAGTAAATAAATCAGTGTTATTGGTGAAAATTTATTTATTTCTCTATTGGATCATGTTATTTAAGTTATGCCAATTATGTGTGAAAAATAATATCGCCCAAATGTCTCCCAAATCTGAAAAAAAAAAAAAAAAAAAAATCATAGACGCTTAAACTTAATTCACATTTAAAATCGGTCCAAGTTAATGGAACATCCTTTTATCTATCATCATTCACACACACACATTTACACACACATATACATATATATATATATATATATATATATATATATATTTGTGTATGTTGTGTAACTTTTTTTTCAAGTTATTGGAACAATCCTTTTTAATATGAATACTGTAAATCATTCTAATCTGAGGTATGAGGCATTTGATAAGCTTTTTTGTTTGCATTGTTCACTCATTGTTGCATTAATTTAAAGTGTTTAATGCTGTAAAATCTTTCATTTGTAAAATTAACTGCTTATTCACTTTTGAATATCATTCATTAGTTAATATCGACGAGAAGGTGCGTGACTTTTAATGGACTTTCTCTGAACGTGGATCTTCTCGAGAGAAGGTGATAAGTTTCCGTCTTTTTTATCTCCTGGAAAAATTATATCACTTCCTCGTCCAGTTGTTCCACCCTAACACACAACCTGGGTCGACCACTTATTTACATGTTGTTTTTGAACCACTGGCATTCTGTTGGGATAAAAATCTGCACCTGGTTTGATATTAGGTTATAGATCCTATTAACTTTAAATTAAAATATGTCTTTTTTGTGTTCTCTGATACTTTGTTGTTATTGCGCCACACTGATTGCAAAGTCTATTTTGGTATCTTTATTTTGATCCCAGTATCATATTTTGGTTTGAAAGATCAACTTCTTTATTAACATCAAATTCAATTCAGATCATTTGGAATTTCTTGAAATATCACATACAACAATGGGAGGAAGAGGATTAGACTCTTTCAGAAGGAAATTATTTCGACTGTATGCTTTTCGGAAGAAGATGTTAGTGTATAATAAAAAATTATTTTTTTATTTGGTACGATAATTGTTGATTGCTATACACTTCTTAATTTAATAGTAATAATTCACGATAAATGTTCATACGTTGTTTAACACAGCACGCATAGCTTATTTATAGAATACATCCCTATATATATACAGATATTCCATAAGACAAAAAACAGACTTTGGAAGCAGACATCTATATATGAACTGGCAGACATGCACACACGACTGACAACAAGACACATGCATTTATAAATTCTTGAACACACATATACATAATGAATGATACGCCTAGACGTATATATATGGACATGAACACACACACACACACACACACACACACACACACACACACACACACACAAAACTCATATATCCAGTCATCGGAGTTATGCGAGAACATCGAAACAAAGAAAAGGGGGAAAAAAATAATTTTAACATTACCAATAGTTTTGACTCGACTGAAATTATTCGTTGTTCGTTGCTCCATCACAATAGCGACACGACAACACCAAAGTATTTCGGAATGATTCATGAACAAAGCCCGGCTGCGACAAACGAATGGTTACGGTAACCCTTGATCAATCACCACCACCTCCCCGACACTTTACTGCCCTCCTCCTTCCTTCCTTCCTTCTTCCTCCTCCTTCATCCTTTTGGCATACTTAATCTTACTTCATTTTCACAGAGCCTTTATTTCATAATTACACTAACACACTTCCGGGTATAGCTTATGTGGCACAGCAAAATAATTCAATCCAAAAAATTACTTTCAAGAGAAAAAGATAGTTTCCAAATAGCAAATCTTTTTTGTCTTTTTTTTTTCAAGTAACTGATTTTAAATCAGCTCAAGCGAAAAAAAAATGTGTAATTTTGGATAACGGGATTTCCTTATTTATTTTTGTTGTTCTGTCATGGGGTTCGGTTCAGTCCCAAATTGAGAGACGAGTTCGAATTTCAATCGGGTTTATCGTGGAAAATACCCATTTTCAAGGGTATGAACCCGTCTTTTTTCTATATTGTATGGGCTGAATAGCAGGACAAACTGTGTCCTATATAGTATAGCCTTGGTTGGCGACCAGTCTATGAAACAGAAAGAAATGGGATAATCTTTTTGCTTAATCAGTTATAAATCAAGATCAAGTCGTGTATTATTTGGTATGGCACTTGACTGACTGAATTTGGTTATTTTTAAGCAGCTTGATATGTCCGAAAAATAAAATAAAAATATACACGAAAAAAAACAGAAAATAATTTGTATTGCTATTTGACCGATTGACTTTTATTTTTTTTAATAGTTTATATAAAGCCGAAATATATTTCCTGACTGAATTTTTTTGGGATGAGAAGTTATTATTATTTACAAATTTATACGCGGGATGTTATCCCCATCTTTGTTGCCATTATCAATGTTTTTGCCGTTCTACGCTTTTAATCTTCATGTGGATAACCTAAAAGGGAATTTCGAACTGAACCATTTACCGAACAAGATCAATCTATTTCCGTAAATTAAATAATTAATCGTATTTGCGAGTAGTTTAGCTTGTTAGTGACTCGAAAAGAGAAATAAGCGTATCCGAATTCCAGCCGTGTTCGTTAGGTTCACAGAAATATCTCAAATTAAATAGCAGGCCTGATAAGGCTCTTTGTCGTGCGGTGACAACCAAATAGAAGAAGGAAAAGAAAAAATAGATGGCAACTGGTCTATATTATTTTTTTTTTAGAAATGGCAGGGGATAAAAATTTGTCGTCAGTCATGTATCGAAAGATTGTTGATTTGAGATAAGCGTGTATCACGCATGGCACATAACTGACTGACTGATAAGTTAAAGCAAAATCCTTACATATTTAGCATTGTTGAAATTATCGCTAACATTTTTTTTCGAGATTTTTTTTAAATTTCAGCGGCTCGGGTTGAGGAATCGGAGATTAAGTTCGAATTCCATTCGAATCCATTAAAATTCAATTAAAAAATTATTTTTTATTTCAAAAGTATGAATCATTTTGACTTCAGACTGGGTTCTATAGTCTTGATGGTAACTGGTCTACCGCAGGAAAGAAATGGCAACCTACATCATGAAAAAAATCTGCCTCGTCAGTGTTTATCACGTATGGCAATGACTAACTGATATAGAAATGATTGAGAATATTGAACTGCACAAAATCGAATTTTGTTGAAAGAGACAAATTTAAAGATGACAGTGAAAAAATTGTTAGAAGAAATATTATTATATTTTATTATTATTATTATTATTATTATTATTATTATTATTATTATATTATTATTATTATTATTATTATTATTTCTGTTATGGACACACTACCTACCAAGTCTGCGGAAAGACCTAAGGCAGGTCGTGGTGTGTTGTTATGGCCACATTTCATGTTAATTTTTTTTTTTTTTTTTTTTTTTTATCTCCGATGAAGTTGCTAGCGTTACATAGACAAAGTTCTCCTTAGTGTGTGTGCTGTACTTAATAAGACAATTTTCTGTATGTCTCTTAAGCTGGGGTTTCAGGGATTCTTTCAATGTGTTGTTTTGTTCCATTTTTATAATTCCAAGGTGCACCTATTACCACTGGTATTATTCTTGTTTTCAATTTCCACATTTTTTCTATTTCAATTTCCAGGTCTTTGTATTTTGATAGTTTTTCAAATTCCTTGGTTGCTATGTTACAATCCGCTGGACAAGCCATATCAATTAGTAGGCAAGTTTTTTTTTTCTGGTTTTTGACAATAATGTCCGGCCTATTTGCTTCAATTTTTCTGTCTGTGTGGATGGTATAATCCCATAGAATGGTGACATCTTCTATTTCTGTAACCGGCGCTGGCCGATGTTCATACCAGTGTTTGCTTACACATTTTCCAAAGTGTTTGCACATTGTCCAGTGTAAGTATTGCCCCACTCTATCGTGACGATTTTTATATTCATTTGGGGCAAGTATAGAACATCCTGAGATTAGATGGTCTATTGTTTCTTGGTATTTGTCACAGAACCTGCATTTTGGATCCACATTATTATGTATGATATTTGCCTGAAAATTCCTAGTGAAAAGACTCTGGTCTTGCGCTGCAAGAATAAAGCCTTCAGTTTCAGACTTTAATCCAGATGCTCGTAACCATCGATGAGTATTAACTTTATCAACATTGGGTTTATTTGCACGTTCTGGATATTGGCCATGCAGAGGTTTGTCTTGCCAGCGTTGTTTCATCTGTTCAAGGGCTTTATCCTTGGCTTTCTTTTTTCATATCTTTTGCTGCAATAGTTGGTTCTTGGCTTCTGTTTTGATTTACTACAGAATCTACTAAATGTAAATGTTGTTTGTATTTACTGCCTTCTTTTATTATTGAATATTTTTTCTTTCTGTTTTCATGTTGTTTCACTAATTTTATCATCCAGTCATTTGTTGTTTCCATGTAAGTTAGTAAGCCAATAGTTGTTGTCTTGTATGACAATTCTAGCTGAATAAGACCTCTTCCACCTTCTTTTACGGGGTATGTATAGACGGTCTACATCAGCCTTTGGATGATGCATCTTATACTTAGAAAGAAGCTTTCTTGTTTTAGAATCCATTTGTCTGATGTCATTTAGAGTCCAGTTCAAGATGTTGAAACTATATTGGACCACTGGGATGGCAAGGTTATTAATGGCCATAATTCTGTTCTGAGAATTCAATTCAGTTTTTAATACCAGTCGTACCCTTCTATAGTACTCTTTACGCACTATTTCTTTTCATTTTCTTATGGTGAATTCCTTCACTCTCATTTACACCTAGGTACTTATAAGCTTCTCCTTGTTCTAAATCTTTTATTGTTACAGCAGGGTCTAAACTAATAGAGGAAGTTTGTTGTAGCGATCCTCGTAAAACTGTAGCTTTAGCACATTTATCCAAATTGAATTTCATTCCAATGTCTTCACTGAAGCATTTTTACAGTTTGCAGAAGACCTTCCAGCTCATTGTCATTCCTAGCATACAATTTTAAGTCATCCATGTAAAATAGATGGTTTATTTTCTTTTGAGCTATTTTTGTAACCGCATTCTGTCTTGTTAAGTTGGCTGGTTAATGCTATAAGTGATATGCAAAATAATAAAGGAGACAAAGAGTCACCTTGAAATATTCCTCTATTGATGTTTATTTCGCCAGACTTATAGGTTCCATTTTTATGATTGAGGTAAAGTGTAGTTTTCCATATCGACATACATTGTTTGATGAAATTGATGATAACGGGTGATACCTTGTACATACTTAAAGACTTTAAGATCCAGGAATGTGGTACACTATCGAATGCTTTACGATAATCTATCCAGGCAATACTAAGATTATTATTATTATTATTGTTATTATTATTATTATTATTATTATTATTTTGTCAATTATTATTATTATTAGCAGTAGTAGTATTGTTATTATTATTATTATTATTATTATTATTATTGTTATTATTATTATTATTTTTTTGGGACACACTACCTACCAAGTCTGCGGAAAGACCTAAGGCAGGTCGTGGTGTGTTGTTATGGCCACATTTCATGTTAATTTTTTTTTTTTTTTTTTTTCTCCGATGAAGTTGCTAGCGTTACATAGACAAAGTTCTCCTTAGTGTGTGTGCTGTACTTAATAAGACAATTTTCTGTATGTCTCTTAAGCTGGGGTTTCAGGATTCTTTCAATGTGTTGTTTTGTTCCATTTTTTATAATTCCAAGTGCACCTATTACCACTGGTATTATTCTTGTTTTCAATTTCCACATTTTTTCTATTTCAATTTCCAGGTCTTTGTATTTTGATAGTTTTTCAAATTCCTTGGTTGCTATGTTACAATCCGCTGGACAAGCCATATCAATTAGTAGGCAAGTTTTTTCTTTCTGGTTTTTGACAATAATGTCCGGCCTATTTGCTTCAATTTTTCTGTCTGTGTGTTATTATTGTTATTATTATTATTATTATTGTTGTTGTTGTTATTATTATTATTGTTGTTATTATTATTGTTAGTAGTAGTAGTATTGTTATTATTATTATTATTGTTATTATTATTATTATTATTGTTGTTATTGTTATTATTATTAGCAGTAGTAGTATTGTTATTATTATTATTATTATTAGGGAATTATTATTGTTTATTATTATTATTATTATTGTTGTTATTGTTATTATTATTATTGTTATTATTATTAGTAGTAGCAGTAATAGTAGTATTGTTGTTATTATTATTATTATTGTTTTTGTTATTATTATTGTATGGTATCATTTTGCCAGAGACTAATTATAAGTGCTGAATCCCCTTTGGGGACTATGGGTAAAAAGGGTACTGTAGGAGAGTCATTTGGGACGTTTCGTTTAGCTGGAAATGCTTTTGCGGGTGATATATACAGTTCCGCACGAAGTAATCTTTTCTAACAGTGGAATGCTGATGGATCCGGGAATTTGATTCACATGATTTTTTTTATACCCTTCTTTTATGATACCGAATGCCTCTATCACAACAGGGGATCATCGTAGGTTTAACAGTCCACATTATTATTATCATTATTATTTGATTTCTGGTGTGTACTCATTTCTTTCCGGGTCCCGACCAGAGACCTAAGCTCAGAAATGGCATCATGACATTTCCACTGAGCAATTAAAAAATCACGCATATTTAACATAGATAAAGCCCTTCGTAAGAACAA